AAAAAAAAAAGTACGGGGTGGGGCAGGAGAGTAAAATCTGCAAGCGCCGGGAGAAGAAATGGACGCGTGAGCCTCCAGCAAGTCAGTTCCGGGCAGGCTGTGGTCACACCAGGCTCCAGCCATGATCCAGCACCTCCTGCCATCCACCTGCGTGGCATCACGCACTAACGGGCACGATGCTGAGGCCCACAGCGACGCCGCCACTCACCGAGTTCTCCTCGTCGTCCTGGTCCACCTCCCGCTGCTGGGCTTCCTGGCGCTTCAGTTTCACATCCATGGCTTCGTTAATTAAGTCCCGCAGTATGGACACTCCTTTGGCACTCTTGACAAACGGGTGCTGAAAGAAGAAAATGGACAGTGCTGAGACCGTTTCTACGGCACCATGCCAACACGTGCCTGGCACAAAGTAGAGCCTTAATACTACTTGCTGAATCCATCAAAAAGCCTCAGCCTTCTCACTAGGCTTTGGCCAGACGCTAAGCCACACTCCAGGTGTAACTCTGAGGTACCGCAGGCTTCCCCATCTTTGACAGCGTGGCTGGAATGTCTTCTCCCTTTCTCTGCCAAACCTAGAGATTCTTGGCAGGGTGACACTGCCCCCTAGAGGAAGCTTTGGGAACTGTTCGCAGCTGTCCCATTGTTTGGGGACACAAATGGCAGGGAGGGGAAGCAGGAACACCAGCCATCCTGCCAAGGGTGGGAATGTCATGCACACCAAGCGCAGCACACCCTGCGCAACTCCCCAGCGTCTCCGAGAATACAGACAGCTGGACATTTTTTTCAGGAGCTAAAGCAAGAATTCCAGTCACTTAAGAACTTAGTAGCTTAGGTGATTTTGGAATTGGGGCTTAAATGGAGTCAAAGATACTGTTTCGAAATCACTGAATAATGCATTCATTCTGCTTAATCTTTCTAGTCACCGGACTACAACATTCCTGACTACATGTTCAGTTGGAAGGATTTAGTGGCAAAGTGCAGTTCTACAGAAATACTCACAAGGCACAAATATTCAACCAGCAAAGATACTTGAAACCCAGCCGGATAGTGTGCAATTAACTTATAAACATTACTTTGAAGCTTTCGACATTCCCACCATCTTATATTTCCCTTGTTGGAAGCGCAATAAGAAATACATGCTGTAAAAGGAACAGATGCAAGTTCTTTTTACGGGGTGACCTATTGTTTTCTAAATTCAATACTGTGTCCGGAGTTCCTCTTGAAACTCCTATTCCTCACCACTCATCAAAGCATATGTCATTGTGCATATTCCAGAGATTGAAACTATGTCTCATGATGCAGCAGGATCACAATACAAGAGTTACCTTCCCTGTAATACTTCATCAGTGGCCCCCTCCAGACAAGAAAGAATTTGCTACCAATAGAAATGTGACCCGGCTCATCTGAAAGAAGACACGGCTTGCTCTCTCTCACCACCTGAGAGCTACCAGACCACGTCCCTCCTCTTATCTTACACAAATAAGTGCAGCCTGTAATTTATTATGCTAGTGTCAACCAATCATTTTCCTGTGTTTCTTCAGTACAATGGTTTCTGTTCTTTCTGCTCTTAATCTAGACTCCATGATGCGAGGTACAGGTAACTAACTACTTCATTTGGTCTGCGACCTGAACAGCCCATACCATTAGCCCTCTGCCCTTTGTCAAAACGGAGGAGGGCATCAGCACGTGTGCTGGCATCAAAAAGAGCAAGGCTCTCACCATGGCCCAGCTGTTACCCAGAAGAGTGACTCTGCTTTACCTTCTCTAAGTCTTCATTTCCTCACCTATAAAAGCAAAACAATTCCCCTCCCTCGCTCGTCTGTGATGCTCGAGTGACAGGCCACGCGTCGTGCACCTGGCGCGCAGCAGGAGCCCCTACGTGCCAGTTCCCATCCCTGCCCCGGGTCTTCCTGCAAGTCATGTTTAATGACCTAACTCCGTTTTCCAACTTCTCCACGCATGGGAGTCAAACCTCCCCAGAGGCGAGGTGTGTCTTCCGTGTCTGTATCACTACCTCCATGCAGGTGTGCTAAGTTACTGGACAGTGTGGCAAGGGCAGGGAGAGAGGCAGCCCCTGGGGTGCTGCAGACCTGGAGGAGCTGCGTGGCTGTGGCTCTCTGCTCGGGGCTCTTTACAAGACATTGCTTCACAAAATCCATGAAGTTATCAGACCATAGCTCTGGCTTCCGGAATGTGGGGGGAGGGTTTGTAGGGATCATGAAGATTGCCTGATTAAAAAAAAAAAAAAAAATCAACATAAAGATGTGGTAGATGACACAATAAAAAAATGACTAGAAATACTATTGCAGCTTGATAAAATGACATTTTTCCTGTCCGCTGACAAGCCCATCCAACTTCCAATGAAAACCTATCAATCTCAAAGTAGGAAGTATGATAACTAGAGAACCTGGTATTTCTATCTCTCTGCACCTCTCCCTTTCTGCCCTTGCCTCCCTCTTTCATAAATCCCCTAAATCTTAGCCTCACAACATGCATCAAATTTTCGTTTGTTTTTCCTAACCATAGTCTATTGCCTTTCCAAGTTAAAAGACCCAGGAATAGGGCCCTCCCTGGTGACGCAGCGGGTTAAAGCTCAGCACTAAGAACTAAAACTACTTCCGCATGAGTTCGATCCCCACCTGCCCTGGAGGTGACCCACATGGCGTGGCAGACCTCTCCTGACATCCACTATTTCCCTCAGCAGTGTACTTCGTTGATCTGCCTGCTCTGCTCCCTACTCTGTCTCTGGTGAAGCCTCTCACTGCCCCTGCCCCCCTGGCTTGTACCTCAGTTCTATGTGCATAAATAAATCTTAAACAAACAAACAAACAAAAAAAAAAAACAGACCCAAGAAGATCCGGAGGATAATCTAATCTTAGCTCCTAGTCCTCAAGTTTCTCTTCTCCCTCAGCATCACCACCAGCTCCAGTTACTCTCACGGAACGTTAAAATGTGCGCACCTGAACTGTTAAGTACAGATATTTACACATTTATGTAACATACACATACTATTATTTGTGTACATATATATTGCACACAAATACTACGTAGCAATCCTGGGGCTCATGTGTTGTCGGAGGATTGTCACTCATAACCTCTGGAACGGAGTGGTGAGCGCACCCCTGAAGTGGTGAGCACAGTGCAGGCAGTCGAGGGAGCCTCTGGCATCCACAATGCTACTTCACAATCACATATAATTACTGTCTCGCACCTAACCGAGTGCGCCATTTGCTTAGCTTTGTGATAAAGACCAGCAGCTAACCACCCCACTGATTGCTGTGCCTTTTCTCACCCTCATTGGATGAATATCAGCGTAAGGGGGTTTCCCTTCGGCCATTTCTATGGCAGTTATTCCTAACGACCAGATGTCCGCCACGCAGTTGTACCCAATTTCCTGAATCACTTCTGGAGCCATCCAAAATGGCGTTCCTATGACTGTATTCCGCTTGGCCATGGTATCCTAAAACAGAAAAGGGACATGTGAACACTGAGCACTGAAGTGATCAAGAAAAAGAGACTTCCCGACAATAACAAGTATCTTGCTCTTAATATATATAAAAAGCACTCTCGAGACATGATTCAGTAAGTCACAAAAGATTCAAATGACCTGGAAACATGCAGGAATCTTGATCATTAAAGCACAAACTAGAATAAGGCTGACAAAAAAATTTAAAAGACCTAAAGTAGCTAATGCTGCTAAGAGCATAGAAAATTGGGCACTAAAATACATTGCTGGAGTATAAACTGTTTCACCTTTTTTGTAGGCAATTTGATGATATTTATTAAAATTAAATGTCTACATCTTGTGATCCAAATCTATTTCTAGAAATATATACCATGCCCCAAGATATATGCACAAATATTGTAGAAACAGTCATTACAGAGGGAGGGGAAAAAAAGAAAAGGGAGACACCTCAAATGACAACCTCAAGTTAAGTATGGCAAACACTGCTACATCTTTATAATGAGATGCCACTTTAAAAGAGAGAAAGACAAGTATTTTTCTGGAATAGAAAAAGTAAACAAGATACAAATGAAACCAAAAAGTTAGGTTGTGGAGTTGTATGCACCATAACCTTATTTTTGTAAATAAAAATAATGATCATGACAATAATAAGTACAGAAAAAGAATACATATTATAATATGCTGACAAGATTAAACCATCACTTCACATCGGCAAGCAAAGTGCAGATTACGCAAAGAAGAAAAAAGCACTGAGAATCTGGCTATTCATCTGTAAAACTTTACATACATTTTTAAGTTCAAATTGATTGAAATTTTAAATATAAACGAAATCCAAAAAATACTAAAAGCAGGCCCTCCCTGGTGGCGCAGCGGGTTAAAGCACAGCACTGAGAATCTGAAGCCACTTCCGCATGAGTTCGATTCCCGCCTGCCGCCTGCCCTGGAGGAGACCACATGGCGAGCCAGACCTCTCCTGACCCGCCCACTGCTCCCCTCAGCAGTGTACTTCGTCAATCTGCCTGTTCTGCTCCCCACTCTGTCTCTGGTGAAGCCTCTCACCGCCCCTGAGCCTCTGGCCTGTACCCCAGTTCTGTATGAATAAATAAATAAATCTTTAAAAAAAAAAAAAAATACTAAAAGCACATATAAATGAACAATTACATAATGTTGAAGGAGAAAGGACCTTTAATGTATGACATTAAAGGCAAAAACCATAAAGATGACTGTACCTGGACATATTTATAAACTGCAGTTGGAAACATAAATTGTTCTCTTCTAGAAGCACTTTGGCAAGGTGCATCAAAAGGCTTAATGTTTCGCATATTTTCTAGAACTTATCCTGAGGATATACTGAAGGAAGTTTACTGCAGCGTTTCCAACAGTGGGAGAACTACAAGCAATCTAAGTGGGCACCCACTGCCCAGCTGCAGGGGTAAGTTAAACAGCCCCTGGGAAAGATGTCCATGCTGTACAAAAACAATGCTGTAGACTTCTGGGTAAAGATGACAGACAAAAAGCTACTAAAAAAAAAATGTTTTTAAGGAGTAAATCCCTACGGGAAAAAAAAGCCAGGGGCGGGGGAGATGGCATTCACAAAATTTTGTAAGTTGTAAAGCAAATGAACTAGTGGTCACTGACCAGAGAGAATATGAAAACAGAATCCTGAGTGGGTCGCTGGGGAAACCAAGAAACAATCTAATCTTAACACTGACCTTTCCCAAAAGGGTGAAACTGATGGCAAAGGTACTTAGAGGAGGGGTGGAAACGGGACACAACAGGAAGAACGGGTTGAAACCCTTCAGAAGCAGCAGAGTCCCAGACCTGCCCCTTACTCAAGCCATTTATGGGTTACCCTGGTCCTGCCCAGGCAGAAGACTGGACAGCCCTCTGGAGAATGAAGCTGAGGGTCCCTAGACAGCAAAGTAAGAGGGCCCGTGAATCAGGAGCATTAAGCAAACAGGTACGTAGAAGTGCTGAAACAACACCCTCCAGGTCCTCCTCTTCCCTGAAGGCCGCCAACAGCTCAAGGTTTCTAGGCCAGAGACCAAGCAGAAGGGAAATCTCTGGTTAGGAGAATGAGGAACTCAAAGTAGCACTGGAGGGCTGACCCAAAAACCAGCCCAGCCAGCTCATTCTTTATTTAGTCTCACCTTTAGCAAAGAAAAGAGATCATCTCATGTTTTTCTTTACCCCCCCAAAAAATCACATTCGTTTGAAATGAAGCACGGGTAAGCTGGTTCTGTTACAGGGTAGCCCAGGACTTGGGCTGCCTCTTTGAGGGGCCTTAACCGGGCTCAAAATGTAGTTTTTTGCAGGCACACACAGAGAGGCTAATGGGTTTATTTACAAAAAGGGGAAAGGAAAAGGAAACATGCCAGGGAAAGAGAGAGGGATACAGAGTAGCTGGAACACTTTACCAGCCGGCTAACTTGGAGCTCTAGTCCCCGACTAAGGCTGCGAGCCCTCAGTCACACAGCCAGAGAGCCCTTGCACCAGAGAGAGAGAACTGTTACCTCTCCAGAGTGACAGTTGGAAACCGCTCTCTCTCTATCCCCCAAAGTCCCAGGATGCCTGCTTAGCTCCACCCTGGGGGTCCTCACAGTTCTCTCCCTGGTGCTGCTGAGAGTTGTAGTTTCCAATCACTGGAGTAGGGGATGGGAATCCAGAAAGCTGGAGTAGGGGTGGAGTCCACCAAACTCTGCAGAGTTCTTTTAGGACATCCTTCCCCGTAACAGTTCCTCGAAGTTGTAGAACACAGCCTGACACATAAAAGTCAACTATATACCAGCAATGAGCCGTGTAAAAATAGAGAGAATTTTCCTTTAAAACTGCTGGAAAAGGAATTTTACTTATAAATAAATTTAACCAAATAAAGAGCAAACCTGTACATGGAAAAATCATAAAACATTGCTGAAAGAGATGGAAGTTCTCAGTAAACGGGAAGACATTTTGTGCTTTGTGCTTATGTATTAGGATCACAAAGATAGCGCCACTCTCCAACCTGAGCTACAAGTCTATACAGCTCCCCAAAGTCCCAGTGGAGGCAGCTTGCTTCTTTCTGTTTGTGTTCTCCTTTCAGGGTCAGAGCCAAAATAATGCGCCACATTCACTGAGCTTCCCCCTAGGGGTCCTCTACTGAGTTTCAGAGCTTCTTACATTAAGTCTAAACGAAATCAAATTTTGTGAGTGGCTCTTTTGCACAAAAATTAACTAATTTCGCCAACGTTACTTCCTGAAGAGACTAGTCTCCCCTCTCTCACTGAGTACTCCTGGGCTCACTGGCCAAACAAGCACAGGGGTATTATTTCTATACTTTCAACTCAGTTCCATGATCTCTGTATCTGTTTTTATACCAGTACCATAGTATTCGGGTTATTTACAGCTTTAAAATAGAGTTTGAGATTAGGAAAGATTATGCCTCTAACTTTGTTGTTCTTTCCAGGCTTGTTCTGGTTATCCACTGCCTTATTTGGTTCAATACAAATGTTAGGATTGTTGTTTCTATTTCTGAGAAAAATCCCATTAAAATTCTGACAGCAACAATGAACCCATAAATAACTGTGGCTAGCATAGACATTTTAACGAAACAATTCTCTCATAAATCACTTTTTTTCCCCTCACTTTTAGTGCATGACAATATCACTCCTAGGGATAGACATTCCAGTGGATGCCTGAAGCCACAGAACAGTTCCAAGCCCTATACTATGTGTTTTTCTCTATGTACACACTATGATAAAGTTTAACTGTGAATCAGGGACATTATACAACAACAATAACTATTATTAGAATAATTATAAGAATATGCTCTAATAAAAGTTGTATGAATATGGACCATTTCTTTCGTATTTTCAGCTGACAGTGGGTAACTGAAACTGCAGAAGATGAAAGTTTCGGAAGCAAAACCACAGATAAAAGCTACTACCGTGGCTTTTGTGAGTCTATTGAAAATACTGAATTATACATTTTAAAAGGGGGTAAAAATTCTACAAAGGCAGCATTTAGCAATAAGAATATATAATTATTGAGTAATCATTCACTTTATTACATTAATTAGTGCTAATGTTCTCAATTTTAGTATTTTATTTTTGTACAGTACCACACTAGAAGGATTTAGTTTTCAATCTGGTTTCCTAATTAAGAATATAATTTAGGCCCTCCCATGTGGCGCGGCGGGTTAAAGCACAGCACTGAGAAGCTTAAGCCATTTCTGCATGAGTTCGATTCCCGCCTGCCCCGGAGGTGACCACATGGCATGGCAGACATCTCCTGACCCGCCCGCTGCTCCCCTCAGCAGTGTACTTCGTTGATCTGCCTGTTCTGCTCCCTTTTCTGTCTCTGGTGAATCCTCTCACCCTCCACATCTCTGGCCTGTACCCCAGTTCTATATGAATAAATAAATAAATCTTTTAAAAAAAAAAAAAGAATATAATTTAGTTTGGTATTGTTTATCTGTGCATTAACAGCAACAAAATTTTTTGAAGGACCAAAAATCACAATATTGAATTAATTTCAGCAATTCTGGTACGATTGCAATACCCATGAAACTCCCTAACATTTTCCAGGGAGATTTAAAATTAAAAAACAAAACAAAAAAAAAAACCCTGTAATAATACCAGCTGAAATGAATTTTATATATATATATATATATATAATTACCTTAATTTTATATATATAAATCTTTTAAATATATATAAAATTATCTTGAGTAAATTGACATATATAGTTGCTGTAAATTTTAGCAACATAACTGTCCAGAACTGTTTCTGTTTATCTATATCCATTTCATATATACTTAGATATTTTATCACTTTAGTAATTCTAGACTTCCTGTTTTGGAAAAAAAATTTTTCATTGTCTTGCACTAGTGAGCTAGGAAGGGAATCAAGAGACTGGAGACTACATTAAGGCCAAACAAAGAGTGTTTTCAGTGATGTAACCGTCAACACTACCTAGAGGTTGAATGACTCAAGGAAAACAGTGTAGATTTCACTTGTCTTCCTTTTTAAAAATATGATGATCAGATCAATAGGATGTGAAACTTTATCATTTCTTGTTTTAGTTTTTACTTTATAAAGTTAACCCATGTGACCAAATTCCAGAAAAGGATCTAAAATAACTTACCAGGTCTTTTGTAACCTATTGGTTTGTTCTGTAATGCTTTACTAATACAATTAAATCAAGTATATTTTTAAATTAAATAAATGAAAGGAAGTCCTTCTCAGGAAAGAGCTGAAAGTTACCAATACAAGTAAGACTTTACTTACTGTGAGTTGACCTGCTACTCCAAAATCTGCAAGTTTTGCATGCCCTTCTGTATTTAGCAAAATATTCCCCGCCTTAATATCTCGGTGGATTTTTCTCATAAAATGAAGGTATTCTAGTCCCTTAAGTGTTGACTGTAATATTGTTGCTATTTCATCTTCTGTTAACTGAAAAAGAAAGGTAGAATTCTCTCAGTTTATATCAGCATGAGGTAAGGAAGGGAGGCAGGTGGGGAGGCAGAAGGGGCTGGAGAGGTGCTACACGTCCAAACCCTTGCCTGGAGCATAAGGTCTTATCCAACATGAAAATCCCCATGGTGATGCTGACCACTCCCCGAGTTACAGTTCCAGCTCAGGTCTCTCCCCAAACATCAGATGCCTGTATCTGCCCACACAGCATTCCAAATGAACACCTAACAAGCACGACATGTCAAAATCAGACTGTTTATTACTACAGCCTGCCTACCTGTCTCCTGACCCCACCCACCTACCCGCCCGTCCGCCAATCTTCCCTATTCTTCCCATAGTCCACTCTCTCCCAGTAAAAGACAGCTGCATTCTTCCCGTTGCTTTGGTCAAAAACCTGAGGTCACCCTTGGCTCTTCTCTCTCTTCAAATTACACCCAACTACATCCTCTAAAATCTCCCTGATCCAAGCCACCACCAAGTCCTGCCTGCTTGAACTGCGCTAATATTTTTCTGGCTGGTCTCACTGCTTCTGCATATTTTCCACACGCAGCCTAACAACTCTTAAAATGTAACCCAGAAGTACTCAAAACCTTCTAACAGCTTCCTGAGTTACTCAAAATGAAAACCGGTCTTCACCATAGTCTCACGAGATCTAGCCTGTGACTACCTTCATCTTCTACCACTTTCTACCTTGCTCAATATGTTTCAGTCACGTGAGCTGCTTTGCTGTTCCTCAAACACAGGACGCACACTCCCCCTTCTGGGTCTTTTCACCTAGTCTGTCTACGGTACTTATTATTCAGGCTTCTGGACAACCTGATCCCTTACTTCACTGTTTCAGCCTATACGTCACCTTATCAGAAACCCAGAAAGACCGGACTGGTCACTGCAGCATTAGCACTATGGGACATATGCATTATCTGTGCATCTACTGGTGTGTATCTTCCCTTTCAGAAACACACGCTCTATTTAAAAATCTCCTTGATTTGTTTTCTCCTTTATACCAAGAGAGTTACCTGGCACACAGTTGGTGCTGAACAGTACTTGTTGCATGATGATAAGCAAATGGACACAAGAAAGGTGGAGACTGACATAAAACACCTGATTAGTCCAACACTGATTGTGTGAGGATTCGACCCCAAAACAAACTCAATTAACTTTCAACCAGTTCCCCGTATGAAAACAACACGCCTTTAGAAGGCAGACTGCTATAAAGCCAAAAGCACAGGCTGTGGACTAGCAAAAAGTAAGGATGGCTGCAGGGCAAGACGTGGGCTCTCACCTTCTCTGTGCAGACATGCAAAGGGAAATGTGAAAAAAAAACACCTCCTGTGAATTTTGCAGATTTTTCCAAGACGTGCTCAGCGAGGTAAAGGGCAATACTGAGAAGAAGGAGCCTAAATTTGATGAAATGGCAAATTTCATCAACAGGTAACACACGCTATCATCAGGCGGTGAAGACTACGGACCAGCTAAAGGCGGCAAGGAGGACCCAACTGCTTCTCCAAAACAAAAGTATGTTTTGGGGTTAGCAAGGCCTTCCTTTTACTCTTGGCTCTACTTCCTACCTGTGTGATTTAAGCAACGTATCAATTTCCTCTTATTCTCAGTTCCTCAGTCTATAAAACAGGAACATCACCTTTCTTCAAGACTCATGAAAATCAAATTATACCAGGCATGAAAGAATCTGCATGTCCAACACCTGCTACACTGTCAATCAGCCAATCAACAATTATTTAACAGGTCAGTTACCAACTGGACACTATGCTGCCAGTACTGTTCAAATAGCTAATGATACTAATTATTTAATCTAAGTTAGGCACCAGTTTTGTTATCTCGGTTGATCCTTACAACAAGCAGATGAAACAGGTATAGTAACAGCCATCCCCACTTCACAGGTAATATAGCTGTAGCACAGACAAATGAAATCATTTGTGCAAAAAAAAAATCACACAACAGGCCCTCCCTGGTGGCGCAGCGGGTTAAAGCACAGCACTGAGAATCTAAAGCCGCTTCAGCATGAGCTCGATCCCCGCCTGCCCCGG